AGCTGGGGAGGAGCCGCTGGTGGGGTGGTGGCTGGAAAGCTGTTCCCTGTTCAGCTGGCGTCCCGCAGCAGCGCGGTGTGACAATTCTGGGATGAAACAAGGACGTGGAGTTTGTGTTTTGGCTCTGGAAATGGGCTTCCCGTGTGAAGGTTGTATCCCACTGCAGGGCAGCGGCTCAGCCTGTGATCCGCGGACCCCTGGGTGGCCGCAGTGTCATCACAGGGGGGCTGTGAAGGCTTAAAGCAGGGCTGGGAACATCCAGCCCGGAAACGTTAGGTCTGGCCCACAGAGGAAGATAAGCTTATAGAAATATCCATATATAGTGGTCTGAAACATTTCCCCTTCTCTCCCACTTTGAAGACCCTTTGTGAGAAAATGGAAATAAATATTTGATGCAGTCTAGTCCTTTAAATCTTGCATGAAATCTTGGTGGTCTGTGGCCACAAAAGGTATTTTAGGGGGGCTTGTGGTGAAGGAAAGGTTAAAAACCCCTGTTAGGGAGGTTGTGAGCTGTAACTTTAAGGACTTTGCCACATCGTTTCCTTTTGTCAGATTCTAAAATCATTTTAAGATCTGCCCACTACAAACTGAATTCAGGATTTGCTTTAGCAGCCACTAGAGTCGTGACTGCTGGCACATTGTTTTGGAGATGTTTTTCTCATTCTCAGGTTCTTGTGCAGTCTGTGAAAAGTGGCTCTGTCCCATAGCTGAGAAAGGCCAAAGCAAGAGAGGATGTGTCAGGAAGAAACTTTCAAAGCTTACTCTTAAACAGTGTTCCTTGCTTTCTGGCATTTAAAATGCAGGGGCAGAAATTTGAGCTTCTGATTTCCAGGCCTCATTCTGTACCATGTTCCTGTTCGATTATGAGAAATTACTTCCTTCTTAGCTGCTGTCTGCCCTGTAAAATGGGGCTAATGACACTGTATTCAATGCAGGAAGCTGAAAAATGAACTTCTAAAGTGACAGAAGTGCTCAGTTGGAAGTTATTTCTCCCAGGGAACAAGCAATAGCACAAGGGAAAGTGGGCTTAAGTTGAGCCAGGGGAGGTTTAGGTTGGTATTAGGAAGAACTTCTTTACTGTAAGAGCAGTGAGGCACTGGAACAGGCTGCCTCGGGCGGTGGTGTTCTGCCAGTGACCAGGCCCAACAAGAATGATACAGCCAGCAGAAAGATGAACCAATACACAGACTGTATTGTATACAAAAAGGACATTCCATGAATGATCGCTGGGGGTACAAACAGATCAATCAGCTGGTACATAAACGACACCACCCCCAATGATCCCACAAAAGATGTGACTCAGCCCACAACAGGTGGTACAAACAGTGACCCGAGGTTTCCCACAGTTGGCATGGGAAACAGCCCGACCAATAAGTTAAATACATAAGAGAAAGGTGCCCACATGGCGACTCTCACCCGATCGGCCCACGTTCACAAAGGTCTAAACAGACTGGGGCCCAGCTCCAGGGAGAGTCAGGAGGTCTGCCCTGAACCAGGAAGCTCTGTGGAGTGCACTCCACAGACAGACACTCCTGACTCCCTGCCAGTGGTCCCAGCTTTTATCCCCAAGCAGACCCCTGACCTTTGTCAACTCAATGCGGGACCCCTGGGGCTCATTTCCCTTCTGGCTCTCCCTGCAGGGCCGGCCGCACCCTGGGGGGAAGCTCTAAGGCAAACTCACCACCTCTGTATGAAGGGCTGTGGGCATCACCCATATGTCAACCTTAATTCGGGGCTTGGGGTTCAAACCCCAGCATTTCAGGTGGTGGAGTCACCATCTCTGGAGTTGTTAAAAAAATACATAGATGTGGTATGTCAGGATGTGGTTTAGTGGTCCTGGTAGAGTAAGGTTGGTGGTTGGACTTGATGACCTTAGAGATCTTTTCCAACCTCAATGGTCCTGGGATTCAGTAGAAGAACAGAGCGTATTCTTTTTGCTGCGTAAGTATCTGACTCAGACATGTCCTCTGTCACAATTCTGTCTGTTTCTTTCTCCTAACAATTGCAGGTTCTTATCCTGAAGGGTCTCAAGCAGCAGGCCAGTTGCCTGTGCCGCTCTCCGGACGGGCTGCATCTGGCTGTTGGCTATGAGGATGGCTCCATCCGCATCTTCAGCCTGCTGAGCGGGGAGGCCAGCATCGCCTTCAACGGGCACAAGGCTGCAGTCACAGCCCTGCAGTATGACCACCTGGGAGGCAGGCTCGTGTCTGGCTCAAAGGTGGGTGCTGCACATCTGGAGGACAGCCCTTTCAGAGAGGTGCTCCGTGGAGAAGGCTGACCTACAGTGAAATGTTTGCTGGTTTAGGTGGGCTGCATGGCTTCTACCTTTAGCAGGAGGACAGCAGTGAGAGGAGTTGGGGAGTCCAGGGTGGGAAGAGCAGCAGGGGCTGCAGGGCAGGAGAAGCTTGTGAGCTAAGGAGTAGTAAAAGTGACTCAGGCCAGGACAGAGGTGCATTTAGTGGTCTGAAGGGACCTTCAGGGAAGGAATATCACTTGCATTAATCATCCCTGACATCCAAATTCAGAGTGAGAAAACGAGCTCTCGGGTAATCTTTCCAGTCTCGTAGCAGAGGTAGATGTTCTGCAGAGACAAATGCCAGTCCCTTGGAGAGACCTTTTCTGTTCCAGGATACAGATGTCATCGTGTGGGATGTCATCAACGAGAGTGGTCTGTACCGCCTGAAAGGACACAAGGATGCTGTCACTCAAGTCCTTTTCTTGAAGGAAAAGAACCTGTTGGTCACCAGGTGAGCCAGGCTAAGCATAGTGGTCAATCAGGAAGGCAGCCATGGTTTCACTTGGCATTTAGACACCCTGGGTGCTACAGCCAGTTGTATTTTCTTTCTTGAATCACAATGTCTCAGACCTACGAGCACAGAATATTGGAATATGATTTTGTCATGTCTACATATTTCTTAAGTCGAGTGCCTGAATTCAGATGTGGTAGGTAAAACCAAAATGGCTATCCTGAAAAACATCATTTGGAAAAGGTTCTGAGAAAAACAGCATTTGGAAAAGGTTTTAACATGCTGGGAAATACAGCAGCTTGGAATTATTTCCAGGTAACAAGGGAGAGTGATAATATGTTCATCTTGTATGTAACCATTTTTGCTGCTTACATTGAATTAGGCACTTACCTTCTATATGGGTAACTTGCAATTCAGCAATGTGACAGAAAAATTGCTTCCTAGTAAGCTGTAATTATAGGAATTAAAAGATGATTTTTTAAAATAAAAGGTTGGGTTTTTTTTTGGGGTGGGGTGTTGTTTTTTAGTTATTCAACATGAGCTGCTAGTTGACTATCCCTTTAATAATAAGTGGTTGACAGAAGATATTCTTGCTTAAGTATCAAGCAATATTTTTTTTATTTATTAACACATCACCTAATAGCTTAACAGAAAAGTGCATACAATCAGGTCAGTGTAAAATCAGAACGAGTTTCTTGGGGTTTTTTATTATTTCACATGGGGAAAACAGTATTTTGTTGGTTTGTTTTAATGCAATTTCAAGTCTTTGCAGGTCAGCTTTAGAAATGCTTTTTAATTCTCCCAAACTGAGATAGAGAATTAATTTGTTTTTTTTAGTTAACAGAGTAGAGGTGTTATCCTGTTTTTCTGGAGATGCAAAGTTTTTTCTTCCTCAGTTTAGAGTTTTTTTTTTCCCAAGCAGCTAACTGCAGTCCTTTATGTACAGAGTTTTTGGTGATATTTTCATGTGACTAATTTACAAGTACCTTTGGGTTCTGTGTAACAAAAGAGATGGGTTAACAATAAATATCACTTGTAATCAGATTTTTTTTTTTCTGTCCTGAGGGAGCTTTGTAATGGAATAAGTTTTATGTTTTGATTTAGTTCAAACTTCTTGAGGAAAAAATAGGCTCTAACAAAGTTACCAAAAATAAATTGTTGTAGGGTCTACTGAAAGAATCTGTATAGATGTTCAGTTTAGTTTGCTTGGGTGCTCGTGTAGTATTGTGGTAGTGTAGTATAGCCAGAAACTTGTTTTCAAGATCTAATCCTATGAGAGCTTTGAAGGACTGAAAAAGCTGTGATTTCCTGTTGGGAAAATAACTTTTCTTGAAGGAGGTGATTGCTCTCACCCTAAATAAGCAAGAAGGGAGACTGTGTGACTCTGGCACTTGCAGCTGAATCCAGAGGAGGAAGCCGTTTTCAGTGACTTGCCTGGATACCTTTTTGGAGTACATTTGAGTTGCTGTGCTTTGTTCTTGCATAGCTTGTGACAGCCAATGTCTGAGCAGCTGCTCTGCAATATGTTATGACATGTTTTAAATTTGGGTATTTCCACCACTTTCCTAAGCATGTGAACTCTGGCAGTCTTTCCTTCTTCCTTGAGTTTTTCTTCTTTGTTCCAGTGGCAAAGACACGTTGGTGAAATGGTGGGATCTGGACACCCAGCACTGCTTCAAAACCCTGGTTGGACACCGTGCTGAGGTAAGGAGGAAGTGTGGGGAAGCTTTTGGGGTGAAGAGCCTTTGGATTATGTGTCATGGCCTACTTTGTGCTTTCCTTGCTCTCAGGAGTTGTAAACTGCACCGTGATACATTTTGCTTGTCATCAACATGCAGTGGGTGACAATTCCAATACAATTCCTGTGGAAGGTCTCTTCTTAGTTGCCATTTAAATAAATCAGTTGAAGGTGCTCTGCTATTGTTCAGGTAGTTAAGGGAGCTGTGAGCTAATTGTTCACATTGTGCCTCTGGACAGGTTTGGGGGATGGCTTTGATATCTGGAGAGAGTCGTCTGATCACTGGGAGTGCTGACAGTGAGCTGAGGGTGTGGGATATCACTTACATCCAGGAGGTAAGTTGTTCCCTCTGTAACCCCTCACAGTCTTGCCCAGCACCTTGTCTTTGGACTAAGACAGGACTAGAACATCTTACCTGATTGATGTCTGGGATTGAAATCTGGTTGACATTCTGGGAAACAGCCAAAGCAATGTTTTTGCTGCCTGAGGGGTCCAGAAGCTGCTCTTTGGACGGAGTTTACTGTTTTATGGTTTTTGAGCTTTCAAGTGAAGCTGTGAGTAATTTCAGAACAAGATTTCCAGAGCGTGTCAAATCTTCCTGCCTTCTAGCTTATGACTAGAGAAGACAATCTTGTGGGTGGATGATAAGCAGGGAAGGGCACGGGGTGTTTGGTGCCTACAGACATGCTGTAGGGCACTCCTTTGTTGCAGTGCTCTATTGCAGTGGTAACCACTTGTTCCTGCAGGGAAGTGAGGTGTGAGACAGGAACCAGAGCACCCCAGCTTTTGTGTTTAAGGTATTCCTTATGGTTTTGTTTTCTGTGAACAGGTAAAAGACCCTGATGAGCCAGAATCCAAGAAAAGCAAAGGGTCTTCACCTGGAGCAGAAAACACTGAAGATGATGAGACCCTAGAGCTGGATGAGCAGCCTGAGGAAGTAAGCTCAATTCTACATGCTGTCTGTGGGATGGAGTATCTAACCCCATCTGCATGGTGCTGCTTGCAGAGCCAGCAGCAGTTTTAGAGTTGCTCACCCATTGCTTCTCTGTGTTTGGTTTGTACCCCAAGTGAAATATTTAGCCTGTTAGGGAAAATGTTATGAAGCAAGACAAGAATTACCACATCTTCCTCAGCAGCAGCTGCTGCCACATCTACCTGCAAAACATCAGCAGAAGTACATGTGCCAAAACACACACACGCATTATTCTTCGGTGGAAGCTTTTTCTTTGCATTCTGTTTGGGAAGGATGAGCAAATGTTTAAAGTTTGACAGTGCTAACAGTGCTCTTTCATCAAAAAACATGAGAACAAAATAGTTACTAGCTGGGTGGCAGCTGCTGAGTTGAGTTCTGATGCTCAGCTTTGCAGGTCAGTAGCAGAAGCTGAGAGGTCAGAGTTGCACCATCAGTAAATACTGTGTGAAATTGGATTGCAGAAAGCCAGTCCCACTTGTGCTGCTGGTGGTTACTGAATTTCTTTTTGGGGGAGGTTTCTGAGGTTGTGCTCAGACTTCAGAGTGCTTGTAGTTATGGTAGATACCTGACCTTGTTAAATAGTTTTCCAGCTTCCTCTCCTGAGGATTTATCTCCCTTTAACCACTTGTAAAAGTCTCTGTTCTTACCTTCTCTGCCTCTTCTGACAGAGGAACTGAGCTCTGCTGCCTTTGTAGCATAAAAATTCATCTCTGTCTCATAAATGGCTATGGTTTGCCAATAAAGTTATTCTTCTGCTCAGAGTCTTGCTTATTTTCAGCTAAAATGCAACAAAACATTAGGAGATAAGCTCACACAAATGCTTTTTTTTGTCCCTAGATTATCCTTAATAGCTGTTCTACCTGGACCTTATAGGTTCATTTCCTCCTCTTCTCCTCTGGACTTCCCTTGCCAGTAGGTAGCTGAGAAGATGATTTCACCTTTCAGACCAAAGTTGTTCTTCCCCTTTCCCTGCAGCGCCTCGTAAAGTGCAGCAAAGTTGGGTCCATCATGCGGGAAGGGAGAGACCGAGTAGTTACTCTTGCCACAGACCCAACGGGCAAGATTTTGGCCTGCCATGTAAGTAATGGGTGGGGGGCTGTGCTGTTCATCTGTAGAGCAGGCTGTTAGAGACTCTGGGTCATTTCTGTAAGCCCCAGCCAGGGCGTTGTGTGCCTTTGACTTTGTTTGCTCTGTCTGTAGGGAACAGATGCTGTTCTGGAAGTGTTCTGTGTCCTTTCTGAAGAGGAAGTCCAAAAGAAATTGGAAAAGAAAATGAAGAAAGCAAAGAAAAAAGCCAGGTAAGCAGTCTTTTTGACCTATTTGGATGCTGTCTGTGCACGTAGAACTGTTAGAAAAGCCCTTCAGCAATGTGACACAGTGGTTGAACTCCAAGCTACTGGTCATTCTGTCTTCTGGGATCATCATTCCTGTGTGTCCTTGGTGCTTGTCTGAGCAACATTGCTCCCAGAGAGTAAAGAAATACTTTTCTGAGTCTTCTCTTTGGAAAAAAAGCTAATGTGTGCAAAAGAATGGACATAAAATGGTTATTTCAGAGCTGCTCACTTCTGCCTGACATTCATATGTACACTGCTTGATGCATCAAATAAAGTCCTTGAAGGGATATACAGGAGGGAGAGTTTCACCTGAGAAGTCAGAGTGACTCTGATATCTCATCTCCTGATTTACAGCAGGCAGAAAAACAGGTGAGAGCTTTCTTAATATTTATTTTCTATTAAGTGTATCTGTGGTTATTTTGGCACTTAACAGGTGCCTCACAACAGCCCTTATGGAGAGGTCTGGCTCCAGGGTAGAAACTAAAGCACAGGGCAGGTAAATCTGGAGATGCTTTTTCTCAATGGCTGAGGACCCTTGGTGAGTGGTAGGAAATTAGGAGAAGCTGATCTCCCTGTCAAACACAGCTTTCTATTGTCTGTTTTGTAGCCATATTTCTAATGTGCCTTGTTCAAGTGCTTTGGCTTCAGAGGAGGTTCCCTTTTTTAGGACAGTTTGTCAATTTAGTAGTTTGCATACCAGTATGAACTTCTGTCTCCTCCTGTTCTTAAATGTAGTTAGCACTGTTGGATAAAGGACCGTTGTTTTCATCAGGCTAAGTGGTTTCTGTACATTATTCTCTGTCTCTCTGTTAGTTTGTGTTGATTGTGGTTAATTGAGTCTCCTCCATTATCTGACATTTCTAGAAAAAACTCTGAAGAAGAGCCTGAAACGACTGTGGAGCTGAGCCTGCAAGAGGAGATTCAGCGGGTCACTAACATCAGAGCTTCTTCTAAAATCAAGTGAGTGGAAAGCCTGCTGCAGAGGCTGAGCTGTGGTTATGCAGCTACCCGGGGAGAGCTCTGCACAGCTCAATACAGGGAGAGATGGGAGAAGTTCCCCCCTCAGCATCCAAAGCAGTGTGGCCAGTGGGTCAAGGGGAGCTCATTTTCCCCTTTTGCTGTGCACTGGTGAGTCCCCAGCTGGAATACTGCATCCAGCTCTGGAGTCCTCTGCACGGGAGAGACATGGACCTGTTGGAGCAGGCCCAGAGGACAGCCACAAAAGTGATGAGAGGGCTGGAACACCTCTCCTATGGAGAAAGGCTTGAAAGAGTTGGAGTTGTTCAGCCTGGAGAAAAGTCTCCAGGGAGACCTTTATGGTGGCCTTTCAGAACTTAAAGGAGGCCTATAGGAAAGATAGGGACACTCTTTTTAGCAGGCCCTGTGTGACAGGACAAAGGGTAATGGTTTTAAACTAAAAGAGAGGAGATTAGACTAGATAGAAGGAAGAAATTTTTAGGTTTGAGCATGGTGAAACACTGGAATAAGTTGTCCAACTCCATCCCTGGCAACATTCAAGGTCAGGTTGGATGGCACTCTGAGTAACCTAGTGTGTGAAGAATGTCCCTACTCACTGCAGGGGGGTTGGACTAAATGACCTTTAAACATACCTTCAAACCCAAAGCATTCTGTGATTCTATGAACATCAGTTCATCTGGGAGCTGAGAAGAGGTCTACCATGATTGCCAGTCCATTTACACATCCTCCTGAAGTGGTCCCCTCCTTGCACACCTCTGTGCCTTAGTGTCCATATATGCTTAGAATCATAGAATCATTTAG